TAGTAATCCGACGTCGACCTACGAATCTCTTCACCGCACTCATCCAGTCGAAATTAAAATGATCTCAACAAATGTTTCTCTTGCCAGCCAACAAATAGAAAAAGGATGCTATGCGTGTGTGTGCAGCTTGATCGAGTTTTCAGCTTACGTGAAACAACAAGGTTGACCTGCCTCTCGACTCTCAGAGCTCCGGGTTTCGTAGGCACGGCAACACAAGTGAAGATGCCCTCATCTCGCGCTCGGAGCAGGTATTCTTTGTGAAGTAAAGCGCTGTTTGAGACGATACGTCCGCCCGAGTCGAGCCAGTGATAAGCGTATTCCAAAGGCAAAGTGTTCGGCGTGACCCGGCACTCTTGGAGTACATCACCGGTCTCGATCACCTCAATCACACCATTCTTAAGACCGGGAAATTGAATTCCGGCCACTGGCTCGACGCAAAATTGAGAGAAAAAAGGCAAAGTGGGTGAACTCGCGGGTTTAAAAGATACGAAAAGTGTGAGTAGCAAAGTAAGGTGGCTTGCTCGCACCCACCAACAACAGGATTGCCGTAAATGGGTGCCAAATTAGAGTGATACACGAGATTGCATGAGTTTATTGTACAATTCGGATGGATCGGCTTCTCACAAATGCCGTTCTCATTTATGCCGGAGTGAAGCCTCATCTGCTCCTTCGGCGGGTGTGGAAAGTACGGCTTCCCAGGCAGGACAATTCAACTCGGAGGTCGGTCTTGATGAAGACGTCGAGCTGGAAATTGCCATGCACAATCTTCACTTTATCAAAAGAAGCATCTCTTGTAGCATCGCACGAAATTGGCACATATTTGTGCCAATCAGGCCAATCATCCGCTGCTACTCGTACACTGTATGCTTGCATGTGTGCATGTGGTTGTTTTTTCGATGTCCAAAGAAGCATAATTGCAGTGACGTCAGTGACTGTGATTGTGACCTGCTTCAAAGAGCAGACTCGTAAGCAGACAAATTGGCATCACGAAACTGGGCTTTGATATAATAAATTACAAATAAATTAACAGTAAATGACAATTATACATAAATGTACAGATAAACCTTGTGAAAAGGGTGTGATTGTCACTCGAACTTGATGACATGATGATGCTTCATTTGGCCTGTATATGACAAAGTATAAACCAACTGGTTATGAAGTATTAATTCATAATGAGTATTGTTCGGTGTTATCAGTAGATCTTGATTAAGGACAGTAGTCACCCGAGGCCGCTTGAGGTGATAATGGAAATAAAATAAATTTTCACACACTATGATGAATAGGGCACACTTTGCCATTTAATTTTAATTTGTCTCTCCTCCCGAAAAGGAATCTCATCCACACTAGACTAGACTGCAGTTTTCACCTCGTCTGGGTGCCACCAGTCTCCCGAGCGGGGCTCGAACCCGGCAATTGCAGCAACCAGTCCTGCCACGGCACCACTGAGCCACATACCCACGGAGCCAGTGGACCACAGGACGGCTGTCACTTTCAACGCAAGCTAGACTCATCAAAGACCACATTGTATAGCAGACAAACTTATATTTTCTATTACCGTCGACCATACTACTTATACGCTTAATGAGTATATTTCAACAGCACACAGAGATCATGATTAAAAACTGTAGAATGTGGTCTGGAAGTGGCCTGGCTCGCTTCGAAGGTCACGTATTTTTCTGAGCCCCTGTCTCCATGGCAATGGTGACGTGGCAAAAATAGACAGTGCACTAAACAGCTTAGAACTTCGATGGGGGGAGGAAAATATATTTTGGGAGGCATGGATGAGTGAAATTCAATGCTAATCATCTCATGTTGGAAAAATTCATCAGCTTCTTAGTAAAATCTTAAAGCGTATTTATTCGATGGTCATTATTCATGGTTGATATGAACGAAACTAAAATTTACCAATTCTATTGGCCTGAAGAAGTTGGGGAATTAGGAAGGCTCCATCCGCTTTGTACAATTGCACGATTTCAAACATTCAACCATGACGACCAATTCGATGATTTCAAGTTGCTTGGTTGTCGTCGGCTGCTCTGACTGCCATTAGGCAGGACTATCCGAGCCAGGGTCTCGACTGGTCTGTTAACTTGTTCGGCGAGATTGCAGTGGTTTTCAAGACCCTCACTCCCAATAAATATGGGCAGAGAAGACATGACTTGGCCGACGACTTTCACTTTACTTCTACAGCGAATGCAGTCCTATCCTTTACAGACTGTTACCTCCTCTACCGGATTTGAGTCCAGAGCCCCGGAGTCTTGAGACAAAGTCATTGTCCCACAATGTTGGCATTCCAATAATTTTCTCCATCGCCACATAATTAGACTCACCATTTTCTATCCCTCGCTCATTCCTTATCCTCTTCTACATTCACTTACCCATCTTCTTCATCTTAATTTTCTGAGTTTATTGTCTCACTTCCAACATGCTTCTTATATTTTCCTTCTTTTCTTTATTTTTATTGAAGTACTCACTCTTATTTTTCGTGTCATAAATAGGTCCGCGACAGTACTATTCGATCTGACATAGGAACTGTATTCCTCATATATTGTTCAGGGTTATGAATGACTGGGAGTTGAATTTTCTCACAATCAAATGACTTGGCCTCATTTTTTTATTGAACTTTACAAAAGGTATTCTTATCCCGACTCGACTGGATATAATCAGATCCAAAGAGGGACTCGAAACTGGGTTTTGGTATTTTAGCGTAAATTCTTGATACGTCAGCCACCACGACAAGCTGACACGAATCCCTTTGGGCGACAGGACAAATGTGAACTTCCGAGTTCGAGTCCCAGTATGGATTCTGATGAGACCAGTTCAGGCGAGGTGAACACTGCAGTTCACTCCTGCCTGGGTAAGAATATCTTTTGAGAAGCAAGGCTATGTGAAATTCAATGGGATCACTAGGTTTGCCGATCTGGTTATGGAAAAATTCAGTTGACATTCCTTCATCACCTTACAGGAAATATGGTAAATGTAGCTCTTATTCATTCTTATGTTTATCAGGAATCGAATTCACATTTAACTTTCCTTCTTTACTCTTTATACCTCTGTTTAAGCCTATTCTATGAGTCTTAAACTTTAGTAACCCAGTCGGCATGAGTGGGTTTATTTGTACGTCTGTTCCTCCCGAAGCTTCTCATCTCTTATATGAGATGTATTCACCCTATTTCGTTTAAGGTGATGAAGGACTAGTAGTAGAATTTTCCCACAATCATATGAGTAGAGCTGAAGTTTCCATTCAATTTCACATAGCCTTGCTTTCCCAAAAGTTGTTCTCATCCAAGCAGGAGTGGACTGCAGTTTCGACCTCGCCTAGATTTTATCAACATCCCAAGCGACAGTCGAACCGTGACAGGGCAGCTTGTGAGTTTGACACGTCAACCACGAGTGTCCTTGAGTCACAGGGCAGATGTGAATTTCAAAGAAGCCTTTTTCCATATCACATTCTTTGGTGAGCTTGTCGATGAAGCAAACGTATTTTTGCTATAATAATCGACTACATTACTTATTTTTCGTACATAAGTAGAGTTTTGAGACTACCAGTAAATCGGTTACATGAGATTGTCTCGGTAAAGTGAAGTGAATAACATCACTATCTACCACACAAATATGTTTCGAAACTATCTGCTATAACGCAAAGTAATAGCTTGGTCGGCTTAGATCGCTTCAGGTGACGGAGGGTTGATGGTTGACGTTGGCAAAGCGTAATGGAGTTCGTTGGGAGAAAAACCCAACTTTCCATTTGTATGACAATTTTAGCTACATGATTAGCCTTGAAGATTAGGTTTGTTTTTGTAGCTTGGTCGCATATCCAGAGAGACCTGGTCCCGAGTCCTCTGCCAGAAAAGTTATGATAAGTTACAGCGTTAAGACCGGCAAGTTTTACTGTCGTTGCTA